CGCCTGTCTGTCTGTCTGTCCGTCCGTCCGACCCACGGAAACTCCTCCCCCGTGCAGGGAAGATGCCCGGCCTCGGCGCCTCCCGCCTGCAAAGGGCTGGGCGCCAGCTCCCCCCCTTCTCCGGGTCTAGCAGTCTTCTAGTCTGTGGTTGACCTGACAGGAAATAATAATCCACTGGAAAACAGCACAGTCAGAGAATACTTCTAGGAAGCAGATTTACTTAGAACTGGCTCAGTGCTAGTGCAATCACACAGGGCCTTTTTGGCACATGTATTGCGATGTTGCAAGCACTTATAAAAGAAAGTGTTTTGTAAGCTGGTTTTAGTTTTACATAGTTAAGCAGAGTACAGAAGTTATCATAGAATCATTTGGTTGGAAGAGACCTTTAAGATCAAGTCCAACTGTACCTGTCCGCTACTAAACCATGTCTCTAAGCACCTCATCTACCCATCTTTTAAATACCTTCAGGGATGGGGACTCAACCACTTCCCTGGGCAGCCCATTCCAGTGCTTGACAACCCTTTCAGGGAAGAAAATTTTTTCCTAAAGTCCAATTTAGACCTCCCCTGGCAAACTTGAGGCCATTTCCTCTTGTCCTAAAGAACAAGCCTTCTTCCCCAAGCCTGTAGTGTTGCTTGGGGTTGTTGTGACCCAAGTGCAGTACCCAGCACTTTGCCTTGTTCAACCTCATACAGTTGGCCTCAGCCCATCGATCCAGCCTGTCCAGGTACCTCTGCAAAGCCCTCCTCCCCTCGAGCAGATCAACACTCCTGCCCAGTTTGGTGTCATCTGCAAACTTACTGAGAGTGCACTCAAAATGGTCCCCAGGCCATTTCTTGTTCTGTCAGCTGCTCTGTGCATAGATGTGTCGGGAGGGGGAAGCTGTGGCTGGTTTTGTTTGGGTTTTCATATCAGCTGCATATGATATTTAGCACCGTGAGATGCTAATCCTCATCTGTACTCTGTGTGCTCATATGTTGCTGCTACCCTGCCCTTCCTGCCTGCATTTTGGTCACCGTCAGCCTCCGCCAACCATAAGCAGATATTCACAGATACCAGGGACACAGTCAGAATATTTACATTCAGGCCTTTATCAACACTTTGTAAATCCTGGCATGAGAAGGTCAAAAAGCACACAAAGCAAATCCCTTTCCCAAGAAGCCCCTTGGTCTAACACTGACCAAGGATGCTCAAAGAGCAATTCTGCCTTGGAAACCAAAGCAAAAATTATATTTTCTGCTTGCTCACATAGCAAAACCTCACCCAAATCTCTGGTATACAGTATTTTGCAAGCTCCCAATATAACGTATCTTGTCAGAAGTCAATACTTGCTTGTGCACTGAGAAAGGGAACGCAGAAATCTCTTTATAAGAGCAGAGTCTGATGATTCTTGCATTTATAATGCAAATACTAAACCCTGGAGCTATTCAGAGCTAATGCAGCATCACAGTTGTAGCCTGCTGGACCTCAGGCAAAGAGTTTCCCTGAACTTGGCTGCTTCTTTTTTTTTTTTTTTTTTTTTCATATTGGAGCATATGTAGCAGGTGTTTCTTTGGCTGACAAGGATATACAGATAATACATCTCAAAATCTCTTCCAAGACTATGCTATCTAGATGCTCAGATTAGCATTGGAGGACAAATCTTTTCTCAAGTCATTCCAATTTCACTGTGAGAGGCATAAAAGCCAAAGAAGCAATTTCTCATTTTGCTCTATATCCTGTTTAGAAAAATACAGTTTAGATGAAATACTTATTACCCAGTTAGCTCCTGCGCCCCACCCTGCTGTCCATCCACAATTCTAGAGGAAGAAGCTAGTTCAAATAAGGCCGGCTTTGTTCCACTCAGAAAGATTTTCCTTTGGCATTCTAGATGTAAATATGTCACATTCCTGTGGATAATCCTTTCCTGTCAATGCTGCTTAGGCTGGGGCTGGGATGGAGTCCTACAGTTATGAGTAAGGATGGAAAACATAACAAGCGGAGAAAGAATCAGGGTTACCTTGAAACTCTCAATTTTTTTAGTGCTCTGACTTTCAAACAAAGTTCTGATGATGTTTTCTTTCCCCCTCCTCTCTCCCTTTTTACCAAACTTCCCATCAATATGTACATGTCAGGGGGATGCAGAGTGTCTGGTTAAAATATTATTTGCTTTACTTTAATAATTTGAAGCCACAGGCAAAACCAGGGCTTGAGACGCTAGCCACTGCAGAGCCACCTATTTAGAGAGCACTGCAAGAGACACGATCTAAACGAGTGAGCTGACATCCTTGCTAGTGGCAGGTTAAAAACCAAACACTGCAGTCCCCAGAACGCGTTTGGATAGTTCACACTTTGGTGTCACTCATGCCAAAAAACCTTTCCACCAAGTACTTTCCCACCCCGGAAACTGCAACCGCTCTGCACAAGGGAGTGGGATCCAACCTGCAAGGTGGTCTGCCTGGCAGCCTGAGACCAGGAGGGGCAGCAGCCTCCTCCGAGCTGCGCAGCCTGGGGAGCCTCGCTTGGACCACCTCTGCGGGCTGCTCGGAGCCTGTAAATTGAAAACAGTGAGGTCTGAAAGAAAATTTCCAATCAGATGGGAAACTTGGAATGTATGGAGAGCCAAGAGTCCTGACCCAGATCCCACTGAAGTCAGTAGCTACACTCCCATTGCTTTTCCTGGTGCAAAATCAAGGTCAAAGCACTTTGCCCAAAGCCACAGTGAAAAAGCGTAATATGCCCAGCAATGATTTCCAGTACCTAAAGCTCCAAAAATCCTCTCCTTTCCTTCGAGTGCATCAGAGCTGTTTACCAGAACACCTAATAGCTAACAGATCTTCCCGTACTGAGCAAGCCTTTCCTTTTTGAAGTCCCCTTCTCAGGGTCTGGACACAGCACCGTAAGAACATTATCAAAGGAGGTAGCACAGGCTTGTACCGTTTATGGTTTAAACAAATATGGTTTCTGGTGTTGGGGAAGC